AGTATCCTGTCCCCACCCCCACCCCCACCCCACCCAGGCTGGCCCTACTCACCATGCCCTAGGAAGTCATTGGTGGGCAGGAGGGCTTTTCCTGGGACTGGTCTCCTGTACTGAGACCCTGGCTCCAAACCCAAGTTGATCCATTCACTGGGAGTCCGGCAGTCAAACTCCTCATTGTCAAACACCTGGAAGAAAGCAGCTGACGTCAGGAGGGGGCAGCTCAACCCACTGGGGCCCGAATAGGCTGGGCATGCCAGAGGATGGGGGTACCTATGTAGGCTCCTCCCCAGGTGCAGGTGCTGCGGATTGGGGAACAAAGTACTGAGCCCCTCCTCTGCTGCTTACAGGGGCCCGTGAGTTCAGGCTCTATGATACCCTGGATTCTTGTCCAGCCAAGCCACCCTGAGGATCAGGCAGAGGGGTACCTGAGGACTCTTAGTGGGATAGGGGCTCTCCCTCCCACTGCTCAGAATCATCCAGCTCAGGACCAAGGCAAGAGGTGGCCCTTAGATTTTCCTGAGCATCCCACCCAGACTTAGAAATAATGGAGATTCAGGGTTGTCAGGAGGCCACCCTTAGCAGGGCGATGTACATCTGAATTCAGCTCTGCCTCCCCACAAGAGATACTCCAGGCCATGGAGAGGAAGGATGGGGAGACGGGTGAAAGCCAGAGCAGGCTAGCCTCCCTCTTTCCTCCCTGGACTCAGTTTTCCCATCAGTACCCCAAAGGGGCTGCAATGATGCTCTCCTCCACTCCCAGTCTCCCAAACTCGTTCAGCCCAGAGCAGTGGTCAGAGGCCTATACATACTCCACAGTTCAACTGGGCTGCTTCTTGGTGCCTGTGGGTGGGGCGGGGGCAGGAGCAGGCATACAGGCTGCATAGGCTCCCAGGGAAGAAGTGGAGAGCAGGCCATCCCATGGGTCCTGGGGCCCCTGTATCCCAGTTTGGGATGCTTGAGACCCCGAGGGGGCTCCGACTATGCAATGTGCCCTGTTTGACAAGTAAGCACTTGTGATTGCCATGGGGTCCCCTTTCCAGTTTGATCCCTCAGCAGAGGTCCTACACTCCCACCCCCCAACCACCAGCCCTCTGGAAGCTGGGCTCACCTTCAGCGGGAGATAAATGGGGAAGAGTGGGTCATTGCCCTGCTCAATGGTCTGAGGGTGGTAGGGGTCTGGGTGCCTGGGCATGAGCTTGTTGGAGTCAATGCCCTCACTGGCCAGCAACTGCTCAATGTCCAGGCTCAGGTATAGCCGCTTCCTCCTGGAAGACAAGGGGAATCTCATGATGGCTCATGTGAGGTGGCTCAATGGGTGTCAGCAAAAGCCCACAGGATCGAGGTGGTAGGGATGTGGCCCAGGGACCCCTCCAGGGCCCTTTGCCCCTCTGGGACTCATCAGGAAGTAGTGAGATGGCTGGAACTGGTGTACTGGGCTCCACTGCCCCCTGTCCTGCCTGGCAGTGCTACCACATTGACCCAAATATCACCCTTCCGGTTCCACAGCAAGGAAAGCAATTTGTTCCTATTAAAAGACCAAAGAGCTGGAGGCTTTGGTTTGAACACTTGCTCACAAGCTCATTTTAGTGGCCTCTGCTGTGGGAACGGTCACTGAATTGCCTGCTGTCCCTCACCCAGAGCTGGGTGGACATAGCCTCCTAGAAGACAGGCCCTCCCAGAACCTACCCAGCCATACCTCTCAATCTCAATCTTGCGGGGGCACTGGCCCGGCAGCACCAGGAAGGGCACCTGCACCTTGGGCTCATAGGCCTGCAGCGGGAAGTCGGCCTGGGTGAGCAACTGGGTGGTGGAGCCGATGCGCTGCTGTTCCAGGCGCTCCTCGAAGTCCTCAGGAACCTTAAAGGTTGTGACTACAGGTGGAAGAAGGGACAGGAGCTACAGAGGCTCAGGCTGAGGCCCAACACTCCGCCCAAGACAAAGCACTAGGCAGATAGCAGGTACCCACACGACTTTGGGGCATGGGATGCTCAGAGCTAGCCTATGGTCAGGCAGGGGTTAGAGAAGCCAGGCGTGGCACCAGCCACCAAGGGAGCACAAGCCTGAGGGATTAGGGCCTCTAGAAGGTCTCTTTGGTCCTGCTCTCCTTGCCCAGAGCAGGCACATTCAATCTTTCCCCTCCATGCTGCCCACGACCCCAGCACCAGGGGCCATTGCTCAAGCCAGCTGCTGAATCAAACCACGAGTGAGGATTATAACTAGATAGGAAGGTGAAGTGGTAGCTCCCTGCACATTTGGGATGGGTTCCTGCTACCCTTACCCTAGAGCTCCCCCTCCCCACCCAAAGCATATCAGCCTGAATGCCATTCACTCCTTGGGGCCATCTGTAGACTCAAGGCATCCTGGATACTGTAGAGTAGGGGCTCAAAATGGACACTTCTACTTAGACAACCAGGACAGACAGAGGCTTTCATTCCAGGTGTGGGGGAGGGGGATCTGGTGGACAGAGACCCATTGGTAGGGTGACCATTCCAGTTTGCCCAGCTGAGGTGTTGCCCAGGATTTGGGCCATTAAATGGAAAGTTCCCGAAAAATTGAGACCATGGAGCTGGGAAATGAGGTGTGGGAATACGCTTTAGGAGATGAGCCCCCTTCCCCAGGGGCTGGATGGGCTCAGGACAGCTTAGTAATGGCCCCCTCCACATTCTTGGGAGGCCCTGGTGACACCCACCCCTGTGGGCTTCATCATCTCTCTGGGGCCCCACAGAAGCCTCGAGAGGCTCAGCAGAGGCCACCTGCCTTCAGCTGAAGCCCATTCTTTCATCAGAGCTGCCAAGTACTCAGGGAACCTCACAGCAACAAGAAGGTCTGGCCAAGGCAGCTTTCAGACTCCTAATTGTCTGCTCTTGAGTCTGTGGGTCCATGACACCACTCCACTCCTAGAACACAGGCTTCTGGGCCTGGCGTTGAGTCTCAGGGGCCAAGGCGAGGAACAAAGCCTGGCCTCTGGCCCCTGCTGCATCGATGGGCCCCAGGCAGGCTTCTCAAGCACTCCACTTAGGATTCTGGCAGCAGAGTGGACTTCTGTTGCTGGCTGCCAAGAGCCCTGACTTCACCACCCTGTGGGGTTTTAGGACTGCTTTTCCTCACATGGGTGGGGTTGCAGAGCTGCTGACCACCCCACCCTACCCCCTACCATGGATGGTAGGAGCACCATTCCCAGCATCTCTACAGCTCTTACATCTGTGGTTTGTAACTATTTTCTGGGCCACATATGCTTATGAAACTGTTGAACACAACAGGCTGGATCCTCAGATCACAGTATGAATGCACATGCATGTGATGTTTCCCATGCCACTTTGGGAGGTTCATAGATTTCATGAGGCCTGTGGGTCCCAGCAGGATTAATCTGGGTAGTGCCAGGAAGAAGCCAGGCCTCTGCTAGGGTGGGAGAGGAGGGGCAGACAGCTAGGACCAGGGGGCATCTGTGCCTGATCGAAGGGGGAGTCCTGTCTGCAGACCACTCGATTCCTCACTGCCACTCAGGGCCCCACCCTGCTCGCTGCCTATCCTGGAGCCACCCTATTCTTCCCTTTGCCACTGGTAACTGCTCCACTTCTGGCAGACCTGTCCCAGTCTTTACAAGACTCATCACAGACACATAACAGAGTCCCTCTTCCCTCTTTCAGCAAACATCTGCTGGGCACTGTCCTGTGTCAGGCTCTCTTCTGGGTGCTGAGGCCCTAGTGGAGAACAGCTCAGACACAGTTCTGGCTTCCTCCAAGCCCTGTCCCAGGGGAGGCAGAAAATACACAAGTAAATGCCCTACCATCCCCATCTGGGTGGAGGGAACAGGAGCCCTGGCCCTCAGCACCCAAGCCCACTGAGGTGTGCTTGTCACATCTCTGCTAAGCGTAGTGATAAAGCAGCTGTGGCTCACTCAGCACTTGGTGAGCACCCAGTTGTGAGGAGGGCCCTCGCAAAGCACCTTATCTCTTGTCATTCCCATTTTACATTTGAAGAAACTGAGACCTTCAACCAGGAAGTGAGTCTCCCTGAGGCTAGAGCCCTGGCTTCTACCTTACCTGCCCACCCAGCCCCTCAGGGCACTGACCTTTTGGGGTGCACTTGTCAAGGTCAGCCTGCCGTAGGAGGTTCTGGTTCATGCAGGGGCCACAGCATACTTCCTAGAACCAAACCCCAGAACCCCAAGGGGGCATAAACATCCCGGGGAAAGGTAGGACCTGGGAGGGACCCCAAGGCCAAGTGTCTACCCTGAGTCCACTGGGGAGCACCACAGGGGTGTGAGGGTAGGGCAGAACCAGCAAGTTTGTACAACCTCTCATTCAGAGGCTATAGTGGGCCACAAGCTGTGACCACCTGGGACACCCTTGGCCCTACCCTGCTCTGGTCTGGTATACCTCACTCTGAGAACACTGCTGGTGTGTGTGGGAACTGAGCCACAAGACAGAGGTACTGCAAGGCCACCGGGGTCTCTGTGTGGACCTCCCCTCTCTAGGGTCTCTCTTGGCCCCTCCCTTACCTAAAACCTTCCTAACGCTGTCTAGTGCATGCAGGGCTCTGTGAACCCCCTCTCTGCCCTCTCCCTGACCCAATCCTCTAACTCTCCCCTCACAGCATGCCCTCCTCCACATGGGCCATGAACTCTGTCAGGAACCTCAAGCCTTTGTATGATCTGTACCTTCTGCCTGGGACATTCCCCCCACTCCACCCAGTCGTTATCTTACCATCTCTTAGATCTCAGCAGTATGCCATCTCGTATCCAAGGATCCCTCCCAAACCAGAGCGGGGG